GGGAGATTCGCGATCTCCCCCCACCTTTTTTTTTTTGAAAAATCAGTAAAAAAACTCTCCTTGATTGGTACATTGGTGACTGTCACTTCCCACAGCCTTGGGTTATGTATGCTCGCCATACTGGGTGGGGGAAGATTCGCGATCTCCCCCCACCTTTTTCTTTTGGAAAAATCAGTTAAAAAAACTCTCGTTGATTGGCACATTGGTGACTTTCACTTCCCATAGCCTTGGGTTATGTATGCTCGCCAAACTGGGYGGGGGGAGAATCGCGATCTCCCCCCACCTTTTTTTTTTCGAAAAATCAATGAAAAGGCTCTCCTTGATTGGTACATTGGTGACTGTCACTTCCCATAGCCTTGGGTTATGTGTGTTCGCCATACTGGGTTGGTCCGAACCCCGGACGAGGCACGGCGTTTCCGGAACGCCTTACCCCCGACCCATCCCTGCGGGGAGATGGAGTGGGGGTACGGCGTTCCGGGAACGCCGCACCCCCTCCGGGCTGCGGACCCCGGAGGGGGTACGCCGTTCCCCAAACGCCGTACCCCCACCCCATCTCGTTGGGGAGAGGGAGCAGGGGTACGACGTTCCGGGAACGCCGTACCGCCTCCGGGGTCCGCAGCCCGGAGGGGGTACGGCGTTCCCGTTCCCGGAACGCCGTACCCCCACATCCCCTGCCCAAAGACATGGGGCAGTGGTACGGCGTTTGGGGAACACCGTACCCCCTCCGGGGTCCGCAGCCCAAAGGGGGTACGGCGTTCTCGGAATGCTGTACCCCCGAATCCCGTTCCCAAAGTGATGGGGCAGTGGTACGGCGTTCGGGGAATGCCGTACGCCCTCCGGGGTCCGCAGCCCCGGGAACGCCGTACCCCCGCATCCCCTGCCCAAAGAGATGGGGGGGTGGTACGGCGTTCGGGGAACGCCGTATCCCCGGCCCATCTCTGCCGGCAGAGTTTAGGGGGTACGGCGTTCCCCGAATGCTGTACCACCGCCCCATCTCTTTGGACAGGGGATGCGGGGGTACGGCATTCCGGGAATGCCATACCCCCTCCGGGCTGCGGACCCCGAAGGCGGTACGGCGTTCCCGGAACGCCGTACCCCCGCTTCCTCTCCCCAACAAGATGGGGCGGGGGTACGGCGCTTCCGGAACGCCGCACCCCCGCTCCCTCTCGACCGGGAGAGAGAGAGGGGGTTCGGGGTTATCAGAACGCCGTGCCCAACAGAAGGGGGTGAGCGTCCCCTTAGGCTTCGCATCTACGCACTCGGAGGGGGTGAGGCTTTTCGAAGCGTGATACGATAGAGTAAGGTTTGATATCTTAATGCCTTGCCTTCTACTGTTCGGATTGTGCCAACCGTCAGGAGGAGCATCTGGCATACCGGAAAAGAGGGTCTATAATACCTCCTCGATGTATAGAGATAGGGAGTGGGCGCTTGATTGGGTGGGGGGCCTGCACGAGGCGGGATGTGGGGCCGCTATGTTCCTGAAGAACGCCGCGGCCGACGAATGGTTCTGTCTTGGAGGGATCATAAAATCCGAGGATGAGAGGGCGGACGGGCACAGACGGAAGTTCAGGAGGTTCTTCCTCACGACAGTGTTTGACGAACACGGAGTGGACCACGCTAAGGTTGACCATAAAGTTAGCCTTGACTACAATTTATTCAAGGGGTATGGAGCTAAGGCGATTACCATGCGAGCGTTCGATGTATCCCCGAAGGAAGACGGGAGCGCGTTGACGATGCTTGACCCCGTGAAATTCCTCGCCAAAACAAACGGGTACAAGCGATCCGGAAACAGTCCCATCGTACAGGCCGGGCATCGAATGTCTTCGACGCTCGTGCCTTTTGACACGCCGGATGAGGATCTCCTGGATATAGCGAAGAGAGTGAGACAGAGTTCGGCAGATTGTTTTCTAACGCAACAGACCTCAGGTGGTGGGAGTCTGCGTCGAAAAAAACAGAGCCAGCCGCGTCGTCACACCGAGGAAGGGGCGCGAGGTCCTTCTGTCGAATCGGCCCGCTTGAAGGAGTGTGCAGGACCGTCTCGGCAGTCCGCCCAGCAACGCGGAGGCACCCCTGTCGTCAAATCCTCAAGGAAGGGATCGGCGGGTCGTCGGGCTCCTGATCGCCAGGAGGGCGATGGAGGTGCATCCAGGAGGGCAGCCCTGCGGGAGAGGAGCGAGGGATCAGACGAAGAAACGGAGGACGATTCCAGGATTCATGTCGAGCGGAACGCGCAGGGTAATCTTGCCGTCGACGATAAGCAATGTGGGGTCCAAGAGGACGATGCCAACGAGGACATAAGCGAGCGAGAGAGAGAGGGCGAGGAGCATGAGGACTCTCTGCCCGACTGCGAGGACAGGGAGTCTCGAAGTTCGATGGGGGCGACTATGGGGATGGTGGGGAGAACGATGAAGACTGCCTTGCCGATGATGAGGATGGAGGGGAGGAAGGGTCCGATGATATGGAGGTCGATGAGGGAGCAGGAGATCGGTTGGAGGGCAGTGTGCAGAAAAGGAAGCGGCGATCTTCAACAAGTCCGACGGGGGCGGCGGATAAACGCGCTGCTAAGAGACTCACAGTCGATGTATCTCGAGAGGCACTAAGAGCTTCTCAAGTGGCGGCCGCTGATAGCGTGAAGAACAGAAACGGGAAGGCGTCAACCAGAGCGAGAAAAGCGAAGAAACGTCCGATGAAAAGAAAGCAGATGGTCGACAAGGGTGACTCCGGAGAAGACGCCGAAGGGGTTGCTCCTAGGGCTCCGTCCGAACAGACAGAGCGTTCCTCTGACAATCGATCTGTCACAGTGGACACAACAAAGTGCTTCTTCTTGGAGTTCGATGAAGATGGCTACGCGAGGAAGGATCGGGTACACATTCAAGTGGATATAACGAAGATCTTGCCAATTCCGGAAGGTGACATCCTCTACAACCACAGAGCGTTGGACGAAACGTTGGTGCAGTCCATATACGATGCGATCCATAATGCGGCCAAGGAAACCAATGGCAAGTGGGATTTCATGACTTTCATCCTGGCCCCCATTGTGCCCAGTCGGGATGGCTGTCAAGGCAAACGGATCACACCACAGGAATTTGACGTCGAGGAGGCGCATACGTACCACTGGTATGCTGTTGCCGGCCAGCACACGGCTGAGGCTACGAACAGACTCATAGTGGACAAGTCACCGGCCGAGAAAAGATACGGCTTGAGGTCATATTCTCACGTGCGTGTTGTCTACTTTGACGACAACACAAAGAGAGGATATTCRTATGTCTCGGCATTCGACAACACAAGGGAAGAACRTTCTGTCYCGYGATCRTTTTCGTCGTCGGTGCGGCAAATCAGAACTTATTGGGAGAAGAGGTGTGGCYGCATCCRTCSTCCAGGCACCGTGKCCCCGAAWRACGTGGAAGGATTGAAACAAAAAAAGACGTGGGAAGAGTTCATGAATGCCGCCTGCAAAATGACACCGGATTCCAGTCTCGTGACGTCGTCCCTGGAGAACGAGTATTGCAAGGACTGGACGAACAAGATGCGGGGATACATGAATCTTGCGCAGTGCGGCGAAACGGTGTGGCCATTGGTGGATAGATTTTTTTAAATGTACGAGGAAGGGCAGYTGCCAAGAGTTGACGGTGTGAAATWMATCGATCTRCYGRGRAAAGTGGAAGGGAGGMTGCCGGGGCAGTACTTTGTCAAGGACAACTCCRRGAAAAAAATCTTGTTCCACTGCATCAAGGCCAAAAAGGGGCCTCYRGGCGCAACGGTGTCTATACCGGACTTGACRCCCTCCATCTTCAAGCTGTTTGGGGATATGACAGCGAGAGAGAAGCAAGTGGTGCTACACCACATGATGCGTGCTGATGTTATCGTTACATCACGTATGGTACCGCGTGGAGGGTGCAACATGGCGGACCTAGTAAAATATACTCGGCGAGAGAGATATATGGTCCGCATGTTCAACTACATATTGTTCAAGGTCGAGGAGAGGTCAAAGGATGAGTGGAACGCAGACTTCTTCATCGGTTATACGATAATCATGGAGAGGTATAGCAAAAACGGCCTCACCAATTTGAAATGGACCGAGGAACGCGACCCCATCCCTGACGACAAGGCGAGGAAAGTGTCGAGGCGTTTGGACGGTCCTGATGAGATAAATGGCGAGAACGGTGCGGGGCTGGAGGCAACCCAAGCCATGTACAAGGAAACCCCGTTCCACCTCAAGTGTTTCATCTATGAGGCGATCGATCGCTTGGACGAACTCTGGGCTGAGGTAAATCGGATGTCCTGCAATGCTCGTCACATCTTTTGGGAAGTTGGGAAAAGGATCACAACGATCATGCCGTATGAAATCGAACCGAAGGGAGTGCTCACCGATAACGAGGAGGTTGTCGGTACGGCGAAGGGAATGAGGATACGAGCAGCTACTCTTGATATGTCAACATCACCCAAGCGTGTTCCGTGGGATGATGGCGCTTTTTCCAGACTGCATGATTTCCTCACGACGTGTTGTGGCGAAAACTGGGCATTGATCATTTTCGCGCCGATGAAGCACCAGAGACAGGTGATGCAGAAAGTGTACAAGTGGGACGATGTCGAGGTGCTCACCGGGTCTTGGTACAAACACTACACACCGTCGACGACCGTGAACAGGTATGGCAACATTGCGGTTCGGTACATTGACATGATGGCTATTGTCCTCCACGCCGAGAACCGCAACTTGAGCAATATAACGATTGCGCCGAAATTGCGAGCGGAGCTCACAAATTTGAACATTGAAGAGGGTGAATTTGTGAGGTGCTCAAGGGAGTGTATCGGTGTGGATGGCGACACTGAAGCGGTTTATTCTTGGATGGAACGAGAGCCTGCACGTCTCCGGAAGCTATGCAGCTCGTTCATCAGGGAGGATGACGGCATGATGCTGCTGGGCAGGGCGCATGCGGGACTGATATGGGAACTGGCTAAGGCCGGACACCACGTGTTTGCATGCGACGACACGACAAAGG